GCCACCTACATCCATTGCCTGGCCACCGACGTTCTTCGATATCGCCTGATCACCGTGGATACTCTAGACTCGTGGAAATAAAAATAACCAACCCTATAGGATGACTGCGTGTGTGTATGTGTATCTCTCTCTCCTACGATTGCTAGAGAAAAGACTGGACCTTGATAGGGGTCCGGTCAGTCTGCTCTCGACCTACGTACAGATCGGTCGGCAAGAAGCGAAATGAGGGATCAGTTTTACGTGAATCTATTTTCAAATGCCTCGTCGGACATCTTTCACGACAATAGTGTGAGCAAGTTCAAGGTACAGTTGTCTCAACCTATTATATTAAACGAACCGTACGAGGTAGCCCTAGAAGAACTGAACTTCCCATTTAGCATCAAGAATGTGACGAGCCCATCTAACGTGCTGTACTTGGTCAGACCCACGGATGCCGGGAAAGTGGAAGGCACTAAAAAGCTACGAATACAGCCAAAGCAAGACTTTGCCGCGCTGGTGAAAAGCGCCCTGCGAGAGCTCTTTGGTCCCAAGACGAGCTTCGAGCGAAAAGGAAAATGTTACTCTATAGGCTTCCAGAGAAACAACGCACTGCGCATGTCCCCTACATTGTCGAAAAAACTCGGATTTGCAGAGATCGTTTTTGGAATAGGTCAGCCCGTGGAAAGCAGCCCCGTGGAGGAAGATACATTCGATCGGGAGGTCGAGGTAGAGTTGACGAGGGTTAAGCAAGTGATGACACAGGACCGAATTGAGATCCTCGAGGGCTTCTACGAATCGCCAGAAGATCTCATTAACGCGATAAACAGCGCGTACCAGTCTCATCTTAAGCTCAATTCCTCCAAAATATTGCTTCGTTATAATCCATACATCAAAGTCGTAGAGTTACAGTTGCACCACAGTGGGTATATCCTAATCAACGTTCACTTATCCCACATGCTTGGCTTTGGTCAGAAAAGCGTGTATACATCCTTCTCGGTGGCAGACCGTGATGTGATATTATTTCCCAGTAATTACATTTTTACCTATTGCGATATCATAGAAGCGGAGCACGTCGGCGACGTGAAAGCTCCTCTCTTGAGAGTCGTCCCATTCGTAGTGTCAAAACGTAACGGAATGATATCCTATTCTTTTAATCTACCACAATATAAGAAGGTGATCGTAAAAGAAGTTAGCACCATTTGTCTCGAGCTTGTTGGCGAGAGAGGAAGCTACAACCCATTTCTGGACGGATCGGGTCGCGTTGCAGCCACTCTTCATTTTAGAAAATGCACGTAAAGTCCCCACCGTGTTGTTTAGAACATTTCTCGGGTTCCGGAGAAAGACCGCTGCCGCATTTTGTGTCCGGGCCCCTGTTCCAAGTTGGGAGCGGACTACTGTCGGACATTTATCAGAGGCTATCGCCAGTGTTTACAAAGCGAGTGGCCCCTTACCTGGGTCGAAAACTAGTGTCCACGGGTAGAGATATTGCAGAGCGAATGAGGCAGGGTTCTTCGTTGAAGGACGCCGTAAAGAAGGGAATTGGCCGCACGTATCGAAGCACCAGAGACGAGTTCCTCCAAAAGCTGCAGTCTGGCGGAGGACATAAAAGAAAGGCGTCCAGCCAGTGCTGTTCAGTTTCTGGACGGCAAAAGAAACGAAAGGTCGTGCATGACTTTTTCGATACCTAAAAAATGACGGGCGATATTTTTACCCTGCACGAGCGTTCCTGTCTGTGCACCAGCGGAGAGCTCGATCTCTTCTCTCTTCCGCCTACGTCTTTTGCTTTGGAAAAGTCCGAATATATCGAATTCTTTCCGGTGGCCACAACAACACCCACTTCGGTCTTAGAATTTCACGTTCCCTCGCTAGGACCTCACTTCTACGATCTGAAATCAAGCTTCCTGCACATCCAGACAAAAATCGTGCGAGCCAATGGCGATCCCGCGAGCACCACCGCGTTGGACGGAACTGTCACGCACGATAAGGTCATACCGGTTCAGGCATTTGGAAGCTCCCTTTTTCAATACTTACACGTGTATCTGAACCAGACTTTGGTGAGCCAGTACGAAAATTATGCTTATCGTTCTTATCTCGATATCCTCCTGCACGCAAACCAGACGAGTAGGGATCACTCTCTGCTCTCTCGGCCAGGCGCTGCGAGGCACGAGGTGCGGCGCTAGAAACGGGATCAGCTGGAGCCGGTTCGGTCGGCGATGCGGTCGGTGACCCAGTCCGCTGCTCCGGGGAAGCGGTACGAAGGCGCTTCGGCGAAGTGACCGAAGAAGAAGACGCACCTCGACGAATGGTCGCCCGCGCTTTGAGGGTTCTTCTTTTAAACCGATCGTGATTCACGATGGTCACTGGCAGGTTCTCTTTGACCAATAACCTCGTGACGCGATCGAAATGAGCCGGAACTGGCAGTTTCTTTGAACGTGAAACTAAATAGGAAACCAAGTCCACAATGTTGGATCCCTGTAGAGGTTTTTCCTCGATCGAAATTTCCAAGGTTTGCGGGTCCCAGGTGAGCACCGGTTCCAGTAGCCTCAGAAGCGATCGACCCTTTTGCCGGTAGGTTTTGCTCAAGTAATTGACTATAACGGAAGGGTCATCCCCACGCTCGCTCGTCTGCGTTGTCCGCTCTTCCGTGCTAATGGGTATCGCTTTAAGCTCGTCAATGTGTGCGCTACTCTCATTCGACGTGTACGGACGTAACATTTTGTGTAGCGTTTGAATTATTTTCTTTAGCTTGATGTCGTCCGGTTCGTCGTCTTCTTTCAGAATCTCGGGAATGTTCTCTCTGTAAGGTATGAGATGGTACTTTTTCATACTTCTCAGACCCCGATAGCCTTTGCGATGGCTCTTCCCCCGATCGTTGATATGAGGCCTAGGAGAGCAGGAAGGATCAGGGGTAGGAAACCTCCCTTCAATACCAGCGTCTTTCTTACGTTCTTGTGCGTGTCTTTTCGATTTCCCAGTGACCGTATGACCGGTGCAAATCTCTTCACTTTGTTTTTTATAGCTTCGGAGAGAGGGAGGTTTCCGGCGCACAGGTTTAAACAAATTTCTCTAATTATTTTCAGATGCTCCTCCTTGGCGTGACGTAGTAGTGGTTCTCTTTGCCTACACGTTTTGGCTTCCGACAACAGGTGCAAGAATCTTGCGTGCTTGGTGATGCGGTTCATTAGGACGTGTCGTACACGACTTCCGGACCGGCGTCCGGCAAGATTTTTGCTCTCACACGAAAATTATCGGGACAAGTTTGCGATAGGTCGATCAGAAGGTAACTGAACGGCGCTCTACACGCGTCCGAATATATACGCGGTAGAACCTGCCCCCTACTGCCCCCAAAGAGCTGTCGGGATAGCACTTGGAGTTGATCGGCAATCCTAACTGAGCGGAATATAAGTAAGGCCGAAGAATTTAGGCTTATTGTTCGGAAGTACGCGTCTTGGAGGAACATGTTCTGCGTGATGAAAATGACCGAAGCATTATAGTGATTAGCAGCTCCTACAAAATATTCGCAAATGTCTTTGAGCTTCGTTCGATTGGCGAGAAAGTCGTCGAATATGATCAGCGAGTCTCTTTCGGGGTCTAAATTTTGCGGGATCTCCTTGGTGAAAATGACCCCGCTCGTGCCCGAAAACCAGCTCTGGGGAAACACGTAGACGTAGTAGATGACGTGAAACTCTTTGTCGAACATTTCTCTTCTAAATCGCAACAATTGGCGAATGTACGTGCTTTTGCCCGATTTAGAGGATCCAATCATCGTGATTGACGCCGGCGTTTGGAAACGAAATTTGTCCAGGTCCGAAGACATGTCGGTGACCTCGCGTGCTACGCTCGTAGACGAGTGAAAAGGAGGCATCGCAGACACGTTTCTAAGTACTCGCGCGAAGCACATTCCCGCGTGGCGCTCTTTAGCTTCGCGATAAATGCTAATTTTAACACGCGTCGCAACACTGCGGTTTATAGCGACGCCCGTACGCGAGCAGCGACTACAGTGATTAAGCAACGAAGGAAAATACAAAAATAAGAGGAGGCTCTCCAAGGTCCGAGTTGACCGCTCGCTCCAAGGTCGTCTAGCAGGAAGTGTATGCAGGTTTGGACATGTCTCGAAAGCTCCGAATTTGTTCTTTTTTTCTCATATGCAAATTAAATACGTGTTTTTGACGCTGGCTCGCTAGCTCTTTTGTTTTCAGGCTCGTTGGTTTTTTTTTTCCTACGCACGTGTTGATTGCACAGCGAGTCGTCTTTACGCAATCCGCTCGGTATATATAATCCGAGGTATCGTCCCCTGGTCGTCTTCACTGCTTTCTCTCCGGAAGGAAAAGGTAATGCTGAAAAAAAAAAGCTTTGTAGGCCCGCCGTATACTAATGTGTCATTATTTCCAGACTGTCGTCCAACCTCGAGCCACCGCCGCCCTCCGGTCAACCCAAAATGGAAGGGGTCCTGAACAAGCTGTCGTCACTGCGAGCGTCGTCATCGTCTTTGTTTGTCAGCATGGGCGCCATTCCGTGCAACGTCAAGATACCCGTGCTGGAGGTGAGGCGAATGGACACCCGTTACGGACCATCCCTTTATGTGACTCTGCAGCTGGAGAGCAATGTGGTAAAAGTATTTTTACCCAAGCGGTTCGCCGAACTGAATGAGGAAGATCTCCAGAGCATGAGGGCGATGAAGGGACTCACGATGGAGAAAACCAGCGGTGACGAGCGGTCACCGGTCATTGCTTTCTCGTGTTCTGACTAAAACAAAATTGTCAGCCGCTCGGGACAACTTGAGAAAAAAAATGGTAACCTGCCACTTGTGTGATGCGCGAGAGCGGCAGCAGTACTCCAGCGCGGAGTCCTTACAAGTTCATCTGGCCCAGGTTCACAATATCCCGCCGCAAGATTGCCTTCCGTTCATCAACTCACTGTGCGCCTTTCGAAACTTTACCGCGCGTTATGATATGCATTTGCACGAGCGCGACGACGAGTCTCACGATGTATCCACGCTTTTTCGGCTTCAGTCCGACGCAATGGCTAATGTTTTTAGGCATTATGAAATGCCATTCCGTTTTTTCATCACCCTAACCGTGGAAATGACTCGTCTCAGTGGTGACGACGAAATTGAATTCAGCGTGGACTACTTTCATTCTTTAGTCCACACGGTTTGGGCCGAAGGTAGCATTCGCGATGCTCTACAGACTGCATGCGCCGAGATCTCTGCTCGCCTCGAACAGTATCAAGAACGAGGATCTGGGCTTGTCGTCGTCGCCATTCAGACCTGCACCATCACCGTGGGACGTTTCATTCCGCCCACGGTCGGTTGTGCGCGTTTTGTGTTACCCGCGGAACTACCCAGCAGAAGGTGCCTAGTGAATGTGAACGAGCAACTGAACGAGTCGGAGAAAAACATGTGCTTTGTGTTTTCTGTGCTGGCCGGTCTCCATCCCGCACCCTCTAAACGATCGAGGGCTTCTTGCTACCGAGACCATTTTGGCAGGTATTGGTTCCCCACCGCGTATCCAGTGACGTTTCCGCAAGACGTGCAGGCTTTCGAGAGAAAAAACTCCGTGTCCGTGAACGTGTACGGTTATGATCGAGAACAAAGGTTCGTCTACCTGCTCAAAGTCAACGATAGCGAGCGGGAGAAGCACGTGGATTTGCTCCTGATAGACGATCACTTTGTTCTGATCACCAACTTCGCCGGACTTTTCGCGAACAGGCGCACTCACCGTTTTCGTTGTAAAAGGTGTATGATGGGCTTTCGCTTTCGCACTGCGCTGGGAAGTCATTTATCGCTGTGTAAGGAAAAGAAGGCAGTCCGAACGGTGTGTCCTCCAAAGGGGGACGCGCTGTATTTCCGGAGCCCACACACGATGGAACCTTTCCCCTACTTTTGTGTCTACGATTTCGAGGCCATTCTGGAAGCGGAAAACATGGGTCAGGCTTACGAGAAGCACGTCCCCAGTTCGTTTTGCATACTCGTAATCCGATCCACGGACTCGCGCATCGTCGATCAGTTTTTGTACCGGGGCGAGGACTGCGTGGAAAAGTTCATTTCCATCCTTAATCAATTGTCAAAGCTCATTGGCGAATGGATTCGAAGTGAGGAAGTGCCAATGGTGAGCGTGGACGAAGAGGCTCACGCGTCGGCCTCTGACTGCGCGATTTGTGGCGAATCGTTCGGAAATCGAAAGAGAAAAGTCAGAGATCACGATCACTTTAGCGGATCGTACAGGCAGTCGTTGTGTCAGGGATGCAATTTAAATCTGAGAGTAAACAAGAAAGTCATTCCAGTGCTCGCGCACAACCATTCGTTTGACCTGGCCTTTATACTACCCAAACTCGACTTATTCGAGTCTAAAGATATTAAAGTGCTCGTCACTAGCTGCCAGCAATTTAAGCGACTCGACGTGGGTAACCTTCGGTTTCTCGACAGTCTGGCCTTTCTCCCCGCCAGCTTGGACGCGCTGGTTCAGGACCTCTGTTCCAAGGGACTAGAAAACCTGTGCTGTCTAAAGCAGGCTTTTCCGCAGCACGTTGAGCTTCTGGCGCGGAAAGGCGTATTTCCCTACGACTATGTGACCAGTTTCGAGGCTTACCGGGAGCCCGAGCTACCGCCCCGCGAGTCGTTTTACAACAAGCTTAACGACAGCCAAATTTCGGAGGACGACTACCGTCACGCCCAAACCGTCTTTCAAACATCCAATTTCAAAAGCCTAGGAGAATACAGTGACTGCTACCTGAAACTCGACTGCTTACTTCTCGCCGACGTGTTCCAAAATTTTAGGAAATGGACTTTAGACACGTACGAGCTCGATCCGTTACACTACGTTTCCCTGCCCGCGCTCAGTCTCGCCTGCGCACTTAAACAGACTGGGGTAAAACTGGAGCTGCTCGACGACGTGGATGTATATCTGTTCATCGAAGCTGGTCTGCGCGGAGGAATCGTTCAATGTGCCATTCGTAACACGAGGGCTAACGTGCCAGGAACCGCATGTTTTGATCCGAACACGGCGGTTTCTCAAATTTTAGACCTCGACGTGAACAGCCTGTACGCTTCCACCATGCGGCAAGCCCTTCCATGCGCAGATTTTCGCTGGCTAGACCGCGAGGAAATCGACGCTCTCCACTTTAAGCAGGTTCCCGACGACGCGCCCGAGGGTTACATTTTAGAGGTGGACCTCGACTATCCTCGGGAGCTACACGATTCGCACGCGGACTTTGCCCTGGCTCCCGAGAAACGAGGAGTCCCGCTCGAATGGCTCTCACCCTATCAAAAGGCGCTCGTCGAAAAATTTCACCTACCCCAGCGAGAGTCTGAGCGAAAGCTGCTTCTCACCTTTTACCCGAAACGGAATTACATCAATCACTACCGAAATCTCAAGCTGTATCTGGAGTTGGGCTTACAGCTAAAGGCCATTCATCGCGTCTTAAAGTTTTCGCAGAGTGCATTCCTTAAAGATTTCATCGACTTTAACCACAACCTGCGAAAACAGGCGACAAATGCTTTTCAAAAGAACCTATCTAAACTCATTATGAATTCAATTTATGGCAAGACAATCGAAAACCCACGCCAGTACAATAACGTTGTCATTAGCGTGAGCGAGGACAAAGTGCTCAAAAACCTGCAGAAGCCTAACCTGAGACAGTTTGCGGCAATCAGCCCGACCGTGGTGATCTTTCAGTTTTCCCAAAGAACGCTACACTTGAACAAACCCGTGTACGCGGGTTTCTCTATCCTAGAAATGTCCAAACTGGTCATGTACGAATTTTTCTACAAGCAGGTCAGGCGCGTTTTCCCCGACGCTCGCGCAGCGTACAGCGACACGGACTCGTTCATTCTCCAAATCACCGACCCGGATGTAGACTCGAAGCTCGCGACTCTTGCCGAAACTCACCTGGATACTTCCGGGTACCCGGGCGATCAACCCTTGTTCTCTCCCGCAAACAAAATGAAACTAGGAGTGTTCAAAAATGAATTCCCAAAAGATCACATTCTTGGATTTGTTTGTCTGAAACCAAAACTCTATTCGCTCGAGCTAGCCTCTAGAGAGCACTATGTGAGGGCGAAAGGAGTGAAAAGGTGCGAGCCCCGTAAGCTAACCTACGAGCTCTACGTTCAAACTCTCGAGCAACAAACTCTGCACAAGATCACGCAGCGGACTATCGCTCGTAAGTTGTGCGAGAACAAGACTGTTGCCGTGGAGAAGATAGGACTCAACCCGTTTGACAACAAGCGCTTCATCGACACCGACGGCGTTTCAACTCTTCCCTTCGGACATTGGAGCCTCTAAGTGAAGTGCTTTCTTTTCTCAATCATTTCAGACTGATGTATCCGTGTGTACACAGAGGGTTGTGTAAAAAGCCATTTTGTTGTGTGATTTTCATGTAGCGCGAGGGTTTTTCCCCCCCGCCGAGTGTTTGATGCTTGTATAAAGAGCTGTCGCGCTCCCTCTGTTTCTCCGTGTCTCGAGAATTTCTTAGAGATATGCCTATTGAATAAAAACAAAGAAAAAGATCCATCCCGCTTTGTGTCCTTTCTGTGGCTTTATTTCAAAATCAGGTTACAGGGCGGAGCAGCAGGAGAGCTTTAAAGCGGGAAAATTGCTTGCGCACGAGTATGGAAATGTGTGTCGTTCCGTCGGTAGTCGCTCGCCGAGAAGGTTTGGATGCACTCGCGGAGCGGTACACCGCAACATAGGAGCGCACCGACGTAGAGACAGTAAAGTCCGCACGTGTGCGACAGAGTCCCTTGAATTCTTTTCTTGGAGTAGAAGAAGGACGCTGCGCCTCCGATGAAGTCGTAAAATTCCTCGTGAATCGGAATCATTCCGAAACTGTCAAAATAACTAATTGCATTGTCTTTTGGGCACACGTAGAAAAGAACCCAGTGTTCACCGAACGAAGACCTCGGTGCCGTGTTCACTACGTAAAGACCGGGTGACGCTGTCTCTTGACCAATCTCGTCGCACGCGAACGTGCCACGAAACCAGGGACACGTGCAATGATTTCCCGCGAACATTGGGTAAAATTCGTGCTCTTCCATTTTAGCCGGCAAACTTGACGTTTCTATCCTTGTCAATTTCCAGGACGCGAGGCGTTTCTGACATAAAGAGAATGGTGATGGCTTTAGTTAGATCTTGCTTGAAGGTCAAGGTGAGTCTCACGTTCGCCGTGGAAATGGGACAAAGACTCTGCTCTTCCCTGTCCGGAGTCAAAATGTAGTAGAGCAGAAAGGAGTCTTTCGAGAAGGCACCTTTAGAGTAGGGGACGTCTCTTCGATTGAGGCGGTGTTGGAAGCTCATATAGGCCTTCATGTAGAGATCCTGAGCCAAATCAAACTGCTCCGTCTGCTGGCAGCCACCCACGTCCAGGACCGCCGTTTTCAGGTTGAAGTGCTCGAGCTTGAAGGGTTCGTGCTCGCGACTTCCCTGAAACGCCTCGCTCTTCACGAAGGCGACGAGGAGCTTTGACGGCACTCGATGCCGATACAGATCGTCGAGGACAATGTGCGACACACCGGGAGAAACGGTTCTGGTCTTGATCTCCACCCCACGTAGTAGATAAGTCGCGGGAGAGGACTGCAGACGTCTTTCAATGCCCACAAGCACCGTCGGGGCCACTTGCACGCGTCGAATGTAGAGCACAATGCGGGGAAGTTGGACGACGTGCTTCTGGGGAACCGTCGAAGCGGCCAAGAGCCTGAAATCTTCGGTATTTTGACGCAGCACGATGCGAATATCCACCCCGTTCAAGAGAAGCTTGTCCTAGTGACATATGTCACTCATAAGAGGACAAAACAAATCACAGAGCGTCCTTAATTCGGTTCGTTTAAAACGTGCCATAAGGCTCTTGGCATCGGCGGGAATGTCGAGCTTTTCGGACGTATTTACCGGGTCTTTTTCGTACAACATCGCAGAAAGAGAGTGATCCCTACTCGTCTGGTTTGCGTGCAGGAGGATATCGAGATAAGAACGATAAGCATAATTTTCGTACTGGCTCACCAAAGTCTGGTTCAGATACACGTGTAAGTATTGAAAAAGGGAGCTTCCAAATGCCTGAACCGGTATGACTTTATCGTGCGTGACAGTTCCGTCCAACGCGGTGGTGCTCGCGGGATCGCCATTGGCTCGCACGATTTTTGTCTGGATGTGCAGGAAGCTTGATTTCAGATCGTAGAAGTGAGGTCCTAGCGAGGGAACGTGAAATTCTAAGACCGAAGTGGGTGTTGTTGTGGCCACCGGAAAGAATTCGATATATTCGGACTTTTCCAAAGCAAAAGACGTAGGCGAAAGAGAGAAGAGATCGAGCTCTCCACTGGTGCACAGACAGGAACGCTCGTGCAGGGTAAAAATATCGCCCGTCATTTTTTAGGTATCGAAAAAGTCATGCACGACCTTTCGTTTCTTTTGCCGTCCTGAAACTGAACAGCACTGGCTGGACGCCTTTCTTTTATGTCCTCCGCCAGACTGCAGCTTTTGGAGGAACTCGTCTCTGGTGCTTCGATACGTGCGGCCAATTCCCTTCTTTACGGCGTCCTTCAACGAAGAACCCTGCCTCATTCGCTCTGCAATATCTCTACCCGTGGACACTAGTTTTCGACCCAGGTAGGGGGCCACTCGCTTTGTAAACACTGGCGATAGCGTCTGATAAATGTCCGACAGTAGTCCGCTCCCAACTTGGAACAGGGGCCCGGACACAAAATGCGGCAGCGGTCTTTCTCCGGAACCCGAGAAATGTTCTAAACAACACGGTGGGGACTTTACGTGCATTTTCTAAAATGAAGAGTGGCTGCAACGCGACCCGATCCGTCCAGAAATGGGATGTAGCTTCCTCTCTCGCCAACAAGCTCGAGACAAATGGTGCTAACTTCTTTTACGATCACCTTCTTATATTGTGGTAGATTAAAAGAATAGGATATCATTTCGTTACGTTTTGACACTACGAATGGGACGACTCTCAAGAGAGGAGCTTTCACGTCGCCGACGTGGTCCGCTTCTATGATATCGCAATAGGTAAAAATGTAATTACTGGGAAATAATATCACATCACGGTCTGCCACCGAGAAGGAAGTGTACACGCTTTTCTGACCAAAGCCAAGCATGTGGGATAAGTGAGCGTTGATTAGGATATACCCACTGTGGTGCAACTGTAACTCTACGACTTTGATGTATGAATTATAACGAAGCAATATTTTGGAGGAATTGAGCTTAAGATGAGACTGGTACGCGCTGTTTATCGCGTTAATGAGATCTTCTGGCGATTCGTAGAAGCCCTCGAGGCCCTATTGAAAATTCCATCAAGGTACGTAATTTGGGACACTGACTGCCAGTCAGCAGCCTTGGTGGAACGTGATGGACCATCAGACGTCATCTGATGGTCCATCAGACGACGTCTGGCTGCCACTGCCAAGGGAATTTCATCAACAAGGGCAGCATTTATATAAGAGTAAAGCTATACGCACTCATAAATGTCGCCAAATGCCTCGATAAAACAAAATGTTCGAGAAAAAAAAAAGAAACAAAAAGCAGGTCAACCGCGGATTCGAACCCGCGACCACTTGCGTACAAATCGCACACCCTAACCGCTATGCTATGGAACCGTTTTTGAAACTCGATTCCACTAATCGTTTTATACAAGATGCTTCGGCTGCAAATGCAGTTAACCCGTCATCATGTTACGCAAAGCACTCGTACATCACTCGTACATCACTCGCCGTACTTCAGTTCTACTCACCTGCCATGTAGAGTACTTTCACGTCGTAGAACGATCCTTTTGTTCGCGCGTCACCGGCCCAGTAGACCTGGTACACCTTGTCGTCTTCAACTACACCGCTAAAGTCCCTTACATCGTCGGAACTCACAACAGGCTGGGTCTTGTCGGGTAGAAATTCTACTAAAACATAAGTCATTGTAGAACCCTGGCAGGATCGACAGGTTGGAGCAAGCGGGCAAACAAAACGAGTCGAAAGCGGTCGTTCATGAAAGCTCGGCGAAGCGGCGAAGCCTCTATGGGCGAAGCGAAGTGTTGTTTTCGGCGCTTCGGCGGGCTTCTGATCAAGGTTGTCGGTCGGTTGCGTGTCAAATTTCTAACGTCAGCGGTTTTATGGGCTCACGTCCCGAAATCGTTTTCTCGTGCATAGATTACTTTTCGTATTCATAGATTTGACGAAATAGTGGTGTCCGAACGAGCTTTACGTCCTTTGACCGTACGTCTGTCTGCACGTCAAAGCTTTCTGACGTACAGTCAGAGACAATCGATGTACAGTCAGAATCGCCACCAAGACATCCTGATGGAATTTCGCGGCGGCCGACTGCCACCAGGAAACCATCAGAAAGCCGACAAGCAGAGTCTGACTGGAGTTTGACTGTCGGTCAGAGTAACTTGTTGGCCAATCAGACATGCTTGACGTACAGTCAGGCACAGTCAGCGGTCCACTAGAAAACATTGACTGCCAAACAGGGTTACATTGATGGATTTTTCCTTCGGGGGATCTCAATTTGGTCCTGTGTCATCACGTGCTTAACCCTCGTCAACTCTACCTCAACCTCCCGATCGAATGTATCTTCCTCCACGGGGCTGCCTTCCACGGGCTGACCTATTCCAAAAACGATCTCTGCAAATCCGAGTTTTTTCGACAATGTAGGGGACATGCGCAGTGCGTTGTTTCTCTGGAACCCTATAGAGTAACATTTTCCTTTTCGCTCGAAGCTCGTCTTGGGACCAAAGAGCTCTCGCAGGGCGCTTTTCACCAGCGCGGCAAAGTCTTGCTTTGGCTATATTCGTAGCTTTTTGGTGCCTTCCACTTTCCCGGCATCCGTGGGTCTGACCAAGTACAGCACGTTAGATGGGCTCGTCACATTCTTGATGCTAAATGGGAAGTTCAGTTCTTCTAGGGCTACCTCGTACGGTTCGTTTAATATAATAGGTTGAGACAACTGTACCTTGAACTTGCTCAATCTATTGTCGTGAAAGATGTCCGACGAGGCATTTGAGAATAGATTCACGTAAAACTGATCCCTCATTTCGCTTCTTGCCGACCGATCTCTACGTAGGTCGAGAGCAGACTGATCGGACCCCTATCAAGGTCCAGCCTTTTCTCTAGCAATTGTAGGAGAGAGAGAGACACGCACACACGCAGTCATCCTATAGGGTTAGTTATTTTTATTTCCACGAGTCTAGAGTATCCACGGTGATCAGGCGATATCGAAGAACATCGGTGGCCAGGCAATGGATGTGGGTGGCTTCGATGTGGTGCTTACAATGCATCGCGCGTTTGATGGTCTTCAGCGTATCCGAGATAAATTCCACCACGTTCGTCGTCTCCGATGCGGTCACTTTGGTCAACACCTTGCCCGACCAATGGGATAAGAGCACAAATGGCTGCTCGTGGGATTCCCACTCCTTGTCCCGCACCTTGTAGCTCTCGTAGACCTGGGATATGATCCTGAACACAACGGGGTCCACTTCATATGGAATGAACTTGCCAAAAACTATGAGGTCCATCAACATATCG